AAAGAGATTTTTCCGAAGTCTGATTGCAGCCATTTTTCAAGTGGCAACCCTCAACTTTCTCGGGCACTTACTAGGACCATTTTTCAACCGTAGTTTTTAGCTCTTTCTGCTCTCATATGAAAGCTCAAAGACCCAGTGAGTTGATCCTGGCAACGATTTACACAATCTCACCATTTTGGGGGCCAAACAATCTCCTTTTTCAAAAGATACTGTGGGGGGCACTTTTAATGCTTATGAGCTGGTCAAAAATTCTCACTTGAATTAGTGGTCTGCACCCTTGTACAATTATTTTCATATGAATGGTTCCCTCTGTAATGATAAATGGAGTATGTTATTGGTAACCAGCGGTGTGACCATACCCGAGCACGGTCCCCGGCCAAATGGTCGACTAAACATGTCTTACCATTCAAAATCAGTGCTCTGGAATATGAGATTGCCAACTTGAAGCTTTCGGTAACTGTTTACCTTCAGTTTCTAGGGCAAGCAGATTCAGTTCACATACCTTCTTCAGGGCAGGCAGATTACACTGAATTGAATCTGCTTGCACACTAAGAACTAAATCTGCTTACCCCGAAGAAGGTATGCAGTTACCGAAAGCTCGACAATCACATCCAGAGCACTGATTTTATACTCTTGTCAATATTCTGATCACGATGCTACGCAGCCCTTCCATATGTCTTACCATACACCGTACGCGTTCGAGCGCTGTTGGTCAGTCTAAAGTCAACTCGACCTTGCCATTATAATGGCTGCACTGGGAACTGGCTCGTTCACTGGCTCATTCTCAAATTAAGCCGGATAAGGGAACCAGACTAGTGGATAAGTTGGGGGCGCCCTTCACATAAACTGTAATTATTTTTGTTTCAACGACCATTAGCGATTGGACCGCTTGCGTAGTGCTAGTGGTGATGACGACATGTGATTAATTTTAAACTTGCAGAGAACTCACAAGTCCCTTAATATTTCGCTCGTGATGAAAAAACCGTAGATGGCATCAGAGCTTTCATTCTAGTTTTAATCTGTTGATTGGCCAAACTTTCCCTACCCACCCCAACGCTGCTTGTCAGAATCTGGCAGAGCCATGTTCTTAAAAGAAACAAACCAATTGTCCCATAGGTACAGCACCTCAGGGGGAGCCGTTGAATGTTGGCGTTTGTCTCTCTCCGGAAGAGAAAATAAAAAGGTTGGAAGGGAATCGCCGAAAAAAATGGGTGGCAATACCATAATGTTAACATATTTTTGTCCAAAACAGTTGAAAATATATAAAGAACAGGTTAAAGGCCCTTGATATTCTACAGTCCAGTCCTAAACTTTGTTGCAGTTAATGGACGCCCCTTGCTGACGTTCACATGAGTTTAAAGTCGAGTCTTCTCCAATTCAGAATTTAAAGAATGATCAATCGAGATATGACACAAGCACTCCAATCAACAGCGACCCCGGCCTATGCCCATGGTGTTTAACGCAAAAAAGTTTGGCCATGACTCAGTGTTCTCGATCATGAGTACGGCCCGTCCGTATTAAAAGTCATGAGACTGCGGTTGATTGTAAAGGCTGATGGATTTTATAGAACACGTTACAGCGTGAAGCGGAAAGAGGATCAAAACTCGCCAGGTAGCCTACATACATTTGCAAACAGTGTTTGAGACGTAACACGGGCGATTCACAATAGTGCGCTTCCAAGAGTTTGCAACGTGTTGGCCAATTACAATGTGCGAAATCTGTCGACCCTTTCCAAACGCACATGGGTCGACAGATTCGCGCATTGTGACGAATACTACTTCTTGACAACAGTCCTTTTTATGTCCATGTAGACGAATATGGTGATGCATGGTAACGCTTCCACTAGTTTTTTTGCAGAGTTGTAGACTCGATCGACTCATTTGCAACTGACTTGGACTCGAGTCGGACTCGGGTCACTATTTTTGTGACTCGTGATTTGCAACTTTCAGTTTTTGACTTGTGACTCGACTTGTGACTTTTAACTTGGACTTGCTCATTGTTACATGTACTTGTTATCAACACAAGTGAGAAAACTATCCAATCGAACCCACTAAAGTTATAAATTAGGCCTGTCAACTTACGCCTTGCGTTCATAAAATTAATCACAGTAGGACTTCGTCCGTAGCCGCAACGTCTACATCAGTCTTGTCTGCTCAAGGCTACGTCTGAATCACCTGGCTGTGGCTTGAAATATAAATCACACATTGCGCAGGTACAAATTGATTTGTGATTTGACTTGACCTGTGATCAAATGGCTCGACTTTACATATATTGATATGCTAGCAAAACTTTTACAAAAGGCCTTTTTTACAAGTTGAGTTTTAAGAAGTAACTGAACAAAAAATATCGCAAATTTTAAAACTTTTGAACGTTATTTTTCCATCCAAGGGTTCCGGAAGCGCGCCGTTTGAGGTCAACTTTCAGACTCTTTGCTATAAGTTACAGCGATGAGAAGAATATGCCCCCTTATTCTAAGCAGTACGACGAAAAATTTACTTTTAAAACTAGAAATATTTCTAACCGTATCACACAATCGTCTCCATGATTTTTCGTTATTTTCGGATTACCTAAAAACTGAAGAAATCCACAGGAAATACACTTTCGGCTATCATCGGAATTGTAAGAGGTATGTTCCAAGTAAAGGATTTCATAAGATGAGTTTTTAGACGCACTTTATACTTTTCTTTAATGAATGAAAATAATTTGACAAGCAGGTTGAAGCGGATTGAAAGGTGCATTCTCATCTTTTGAACTTATCCAGCTGTTGATTTCATTCTGGGAAGACACTGTTCAAAAGGTTTTCTATTCAAATTACCCAAAATTAATTTGCTCATTGAAAACACTTCAGAGAAAGGGTCGCTCGCTGGACTACTGCCACAAATTCTTACATAACAAAAAGAAATTCAGGACAGAAATATGTCTTTTGTTCACAGCTAAATGCAACATTGTGATGTTGACATTCAAAGTTTGCTAATGAATATGGAAATTTGCATATAGCACAAAAGCGAATTCAAATTAAAAAATAAGGTAATATTCTAAGGTTTTGGTAAACGATGTTTTGCTAAATTTCTCTTTTACATTTGTTACTTCAGTTAAACGAGATTTGGACCACTGATTTTGTCATACATTTATTGGTAACATTTTTGCATTGTTTATCAATAGACCTCTCGTGTTTTCATTTACATTTAAGCATATTAGACCATTTTTATTTTACTGACCTATTTTCATTACACATGTAACGTTATATGGAACACATATATCTTCATTAGTACTATGTATATGATGCCACGGTTTATATCTTTTTGTTGTAAGAATGTTACATGAACAAAAAGTTTCATAATTATCGTCGAGTGAAAATGCATTTTCACCAGAGAAATAAATTGTAAGAAGTATCTTCGGTTTATTGAATACATCTAATATTTTTCCAACCATTGCACTGCCCACGTCATTATCTTTGGGTTAAATCACCGTTTCTAGTCCTACCGAGTGGAGATTATTCCCACTCATTTTGGCGCGTCAGCTTTTCTGCCATTATTATTTTCACAAGCCTTTGGGGGCACACACTGAGTATACAGTGTTAAAATCTACGTTGGCCAGGTCCAAAAAACCCCCAAAATTAATTAGCAGTATTTTCCTTCTGCCCTTTCGAGGGACACAGCTCGGAATCACAAACTTCATCCTATGAGTTAGGACGCCATATCAATGAATGCAAGAGATTGTCACTTAAATCTTGCCCGACGCTGGGTAACCATAAAAAATTCTTAAACACAAAAATGCATCCTCGCCTGTCTTTATAATTATTCTTATAGTGCTAAGTGTTAGCATTCGAGGCGCGCGAAGGCAAGCACGCATGTGTTGCAAAGCATCGCAACTCATTAATCATTAACTTTTATCAATGACTAACCAGTACCTACCGGAGCAAGGTACACACTACTAACGCTTACCAGACGTCCAAGGAACCAAATCTATTGGTCCTACTTTTATTTACCCAATATTTTTGATATGACGCTTAAGCGTTGAATCAACACAATCCGACCTTATCTTGGTTAACTTAGTCGTCGAATGCAGTCGCACCGCATAGTCAACTCAAGCCCAGAAACGGTCTGTTTATCCATCCACTCTAAAGTAACGGCTGGCAGCAACGTCTACAATTTTATGTCATCCTTTATGATTCTATTCACTCCACCTAAAATACTTCTCTCTGCACTGTAACATCAGAGCACACAACGGCGACGCCATTTTTACAAAATTAGGACACAAAATTTGGTCAGGTCTTCCCGCGCTGTTGAAGAACATCGACACATAGCATTTGAAAAAAATGAAATCAAACAGGACATTACCGAGACGGGATGATGACGACGATGATCTCAACGTATGGGAGCGCTACGTGCAGCCCATCTTTGCCGAGTTCACAGGGAGTGTTTTGTACACCTTCATCGCTTGTTTGTCCGTCACTGTGAACAATGTGTTTGGTATCGGGATTGTCCACGGTTTTGCCATTGCAGTGCTCTGCAATGCCTTCGTCAAAATAAGGTAGGCAATAGACGTACGGAGTTATTGACTGGCCCCCTTTTTCGTGCTAAAATAAAAATAACCACCTTTTAATCAACGAAATATTCCAATGAACAAGGAAAATATGGAAATTAATGTTCGCCCGGCCTCAGCCGATGAAAACTTAATGAGCATTATAAGGGTGAAGCTACTTTATAGGTATGAAGCAGTGAGACCTAGCCCTCTCTTTATTTTAAGAACTGAAAATGTCACTGTTCTTTATACGGCTGAAAAAAAAAAGACATTTGTTAAAAAAAATCCATCCCACCGACCTAGATACGCAACTGATTATCCAAATACAATAAGGCATTCCATAAAAATATCAAAAACAAAAATCAACAAAAAAAGCTGTTCGAATTAATTTCAAAGAATATTCAAAAGAATTCTCAAAATTTGACGTTCCTTTCAAAGCCTGCTGCCTGAATTGTAAGCTTTAATTCTCTATATCCATCCATCATTTAGTTTAATGAAGATAATTATATAATTCATCGCTGTGATTCAATGAATATTTCCTATCCAAGGTGAAATGTCATCAAGCACTCCGTTTTTATTCTACTTATGATTCCAAGTATATTTTTATCTTTCACTACTCAAATATCAACTCGGTTTTTGACGCAGTGGTGGCCAATTCAATCCAGCTGTAACCTTGGCCTCTGTGCTGTCCGGCGGTACGAAATTGGTCGTTGGACTCGTCTATCTCCCCTTCCAGTTCATTGGGGCCTTACTGGGTGCAGCTTTTGTCAAGGTGACGATTTCTCATTCTTGTCATTCATGATGCAGCTGAAGTGTCTTGGTTCAAATCGAACATCGGACGTAAATGCTGTATACATCTTTAATTATTGTCACCAGACGCGCCGAATCCCAGCATCAAACAATTCAACGACCTCTCAAAGATGCTACAAAACCCCGCTATAGTGCCCTCTTGTACACATGTACACATTTTGAAAAAGAAAAGAATATTTTTTTCAAGCTCGAGATCTCTTATTGCAAAATATTCTTTCTACTTTTATGATTATTTTGTTATGTTTGCCTAGTAAATTGAACCTTAAATTTCTCTTAAAAGACGACTCTTCCCAAAACGTTTCCAAAATGGATCTCGTCAAGAACTAAATTAGACAAACAGATCTCGTAATAGACCTACTTGGCTTTTTGGCACAAGTGGGCTTTCATAAGATAGTCCCTACTAACAATTTATTGACTAAACGGAAGAGCCCGTGTACAATGTGTTGAATGTTTCAAGGTTTTGGGAAAAGTCACTGCGGTGCCGTGCAGAAAAGCACGGCTATGTTCGTCAAACAGTTCCCGCATTAATGTAGCTTTAAGTTAATAATTTTAATTAGTGTGGGATTGTATTTAGGACAAGACTAACAATATTTTTTGTCGTACTATTTCGTCGGGGCGGATGACTATTCCACCCGGTGGATTATACCTATGTTTTTCACAATTTCGCTATGAATCCGTCTGGGTGAAATAGTAATCCGCCCGTGCGAAATAGTCGCCTGGGCGAAATTGTGGGTCAAACTTTTTTCAGTCATGTCCTAAATACGCCTCCGTAGATTAGCTACCTTTTGATATTTCCTTTGAATCAGCCAGAGTGTAAAAGGTTTCTTTTTAAAAACAGATACAGCAAATTATATAAAGTAGGGCATAAAAGAAAACATCGCTAGGTCACAAACTCGGTGACTGTACTTTTACGCAGCTTTAAAACAAACTTTTTCAGGCCGTGATTTACCAGTACGACTCCTTCGATGAAATCCACGGAGGAGCCAATATGATGCGTGGAAACCGCCGTATCGATCCCTTCAATCAGTATCTGCGTACTTCCACCTGGGATTTTGGTATTCATTCCATTATCATCATTGAGATTATAGCATCCTGTGCCGTCTACCTGTGCTACTTGCTCGATAATGTCGATGACCGCCAGCCGCATAGGGCGCCCCTCTATTACGGAATGGGAGTCTCTGCTGTCGTAATCGCCACGTGAGTTTCATCCACAACCGGAACTTTCTTTCTGTCCGCAAGCAAAATTTTTATTTTATAACAAAATGCAAGGATGCCATCTAATACGGAGGACGTCAACAGTTTTATCTGCGTGTAACATTTTATTTTGAGCCTCACTCCAAACACTTCCACCAAAAGCCTAGAGACAGTAGAGGGTACAATACGCCACCGCGACATTTCAAAGGTTTTTTCGCGTTTTCTGTGACAAAATCCTTGAAATCATCGATGACTAATCTCTTTCAGCTGTCAAAGAGACATATTTCGAACTCTTTCCTTAAAGCCTAATATGTAGTCGGCCAAAAGTGTACAGGCAACATGGCAAATTGAAACTTAAAGCTATTTGTTAAAAAATCCCAAGGAATCATTCCTCGAGGTGAGAGAAAATTTCCATCCCCAACTCATATTTTTTTCTGTGAAATTCTTGCTTTTCAGCTACTTCACAGCTGGTGGGGGCTTCAATCCAGCCGTGTCCTTTGCGGCGGCTATCTCCTCTGGTTATTGGAATGAGCACTATGTGTACTGGGCGGGCCCTATCGTGGGTGCTCTGATTGCGGCCCTGCTATATCGGTAAATTGCATCAACTTGAATATTGGTGGAAAAACAGAACCAAAACAACAAGAACAAAACGAAAAAACAACAAAACGAAAAAACTAAACCAAACAAAAAACCTCGAAACATTGTAACAAACACAAAACGAAAACACGAAACAAAACAAGCCAACCTTAGTTGTTGCATAGTTTTTGGTTTGATGTCACTTTCGGTGCATTTAACTGTCCAGTTGTAAGTTTCTGTTGCATGAGGATCTGTGATCCAGGTCTGCCAGTACTGCATTTAAATCACTCAAAGAATTTCACATTTTTTGTTTCCATTCATCTCACAGGGTAATTTTGGGCGACCGCAGAAAGCGACTCCTTGGCAAGGTGCGATAAACACGGACAGCAATGACCGCCGAGACTTCGATAACATCTAATCGTTCTCTCAGAACCAAACGAAATTTTTGTAGATTCAAGCCTTTCAAGGGAACAAGTAACCGACCCACAGCAATTTGTAACAAACCCATGTTTTAAAATTTTAAGGCCTGGTGCCCATGGCCCGATTTCATGAAGCTACAAAGACTGCAGATGGGCAAAACAGAGCATTTTTTGCACGGTCAAAATACAGGGCATAATTGTAATCGTTTGGAGACTAGTTCACAGTTACACTTACAGCATGTTTATATGCGGAGTTGAGAACACAAAAATAAATAAGGAACCAGTCAATAACACTATAATAAACCGTGTGATATTAGACTGGGAACCTATTCCAGCGAAGAAAACCCTTTTTGTAGGAAGTGAACTATTTGTGTTGAGCAATTTGATGACATCACTAGCAGCGGAAACGGGGGGGGGGAGTGACCCCCCACTTTTTCAATTGGGGGGCCTGCCCCACACACTTTTTGCAGGTGCTATAATTGGGTGGGGTTCAATGGATCGAGCTATTTATGGCTGATGCCTGATGGTCTAACAACAAACCCTCCACTTCGAAAATCGTTCCGCCGGGGGATGACATTAGCTCTGGACGATTAATCCAAAAGATTTTCAGTGCATATTTGCTCCTTAAATCTCGAATCAGGAAACAAAATATCTGCTAATTTAGCCATAAACAGTTATATGTATTTTGTAGTGACAAATTGCAAGCATGTAAACAAGGAATAGTACCTGGTATTTTGAATGTTTAAAATGTTTCGAAGAGTAGACAGAGTGGAAGAGCGTGTTGTAAACTAAATGCCTTTTCATCTGCCAGACATAAGTTTTTTTAGTGTAATTTGTAGATGCCTTATCTTCAAATATTCCAGGACAGAAATATTCCATCTTTTTCTTAGTTACATGTATAGAAGCTTTATAAAAAAACAAAAGACATCCTATGGAGAAATGAAAAACAAATGACTTCAATATCATATGTACATTTTTTGAAAATTCATCAAAATTAAATCAAAATAAATTTGTACTTTCAAGTTAGTTTTTACAATTTTGTTTGGCAGTTCCATGTTCCACTTCCAACATTAAAATATTTTCGTTTATATAGTTTGTACTTACGCAATACATACATACTTTCCATAGGAAAAAAAAAACCACCTGTGCAGTGTTTATTTTACCCAAAATAATTTGTCCATTGAGCATACATTAAACTAGAGATCATCTGCCCACATTGGCCACATTGTGACAACCCATATGTATGAAAAAAAGACAAAAACATATCCTTTTGTGACCTGTTTTCCTAATTATCCAGCTTGAGGTCTTTATAAACAGACAGACAGTCTTACGTACGTTTGCTGGGTTCTCCTGGTCAAACGTGCTTTTCATATAGCTTCATGTATTCCCATCATTTTCATTTGATTTTATCCTTCTACTGAAGCATCCATTAGAAACCAGATCTTAATGTTTTAGGGGAGAACTAATGCTTTGTGTTAATGCTTTGAACATGAAGGTGCCTTGTTGTAAGATATGTAGTCTTGTGGTATCTGAATACTTTGTTTCAACAAGTACTCACACTCAAGGGAAAGTACTCTTTCAACAGTAAAAAAAAATTTTGGGGGGTGGGGGTTATGTTTGTTTTGCTGTGAAAATCAACATGTACACTGGCAAAATATAAATTTGAACATGAATAAAATATAAATTAAACTTGCTTTATAGACCAATGAAAGTAATATGTGCTCTCCTTTGAAATGAGTTAATACATATTAATAAAATGTTAAATAACAAATTTATTGTTCACAAGTGCTGTGTAAATAAAGCTGTGTTTACATTGAAATTTGTTTCACATCGATTTGTTATTCAGTGGTTCAGCAGGAATCCTTAAGCCTGAATTAATGTTTCCAAACAAAACAAATTGTCACTGGCTTCCAAGATTTGCCACAACTTAAAAGGAACAGATTTTGTAAGAAGCTAAAGCCCACATTTTTAAGTTTGGAAGTGAAACTAAAATAAATGATATTCTGGTACTAGATAAAATGGTCTTTGCAAGGTCACTCAATTTTGTAGGCATTAGGTTTGAACATTTTTAGGTTTTAAGGAGAAAGAGTGATTTCACGAACAATGCTTACAAGATAAGAGCATTCTTATACATCTGATCTCCCAAGTTGTGAATATTCAAACTAGTTCTTCTGAAGGAATCAGAGGAAAAAACTTGCAAATTTAGAAAGGAAATAAAACCATCTTGCCCCAAACCAGAGGGATTCCAACCAATCCTAACCTCAGAAAAGTCGAACATGTATATGCATAAAACGATTGCAATATCAGAGTGTGTCAGTACAAGAACCATTTCCAACATATGGAAGGTAATGCACATATGAGTGACAGTGACTCTACTGGTAGATTGAAGGGTGGAGGACTAGGGTCATGTCTTCCACCCCCGGAACATTTTATCAAAATGCAATGAGAATAGCGATTTTTAAAAACCTCTTTAATTTACCTTCCTCCAAACACGTGTGAAAGCCCCCCCCCCAACTTAGCCTTACCCCCGCAGGAAAGACCATAAAAAGATCCCCCCCCAAAAAAAATTCCCCTGTCCCCCAAAATTTCTCCTCCCCCGAGAAAAAATATGGTTGTGGATTTGTCCTTGACAGCTAAACATCCACAATCACCTTCACCTGTCTCAGTGACTCTTCAGGTTTCTCTGTCCACTTCTTTGGCCTGCTCACTGTTGTCCTCATCACTATCCTCAGGCTCGGAGAGGGATGGAGGCCAGTCCAAGTCAACTGACTATATAAATGTACAAGGATGAACAGTCATTTGCAAAAGTTTAAGACCACCTGGAATTTTATTGGTATTTCTGCCACTGGGCCTGTATTACATTGTCTCATTGAATGATCACATAACATGTTTTGCAGTGGTCCATAACATCCAAACAGTACTATGAGCTCATTTGAATGAATTTTTCTGCAAAGGCAGGTCTTGTACGACATGTTGTCTGTAATGGAAGGTGGGTAAAACAGCCAGTTTAAATCATCAGAAACTGTGGAGGGCACATTATTAGACTGTTAACATTCCAAATCATGGAAATGACGTCAAATAGCTGTTCAACCAAGACATTAAGGTAACACATTGAAAGTAAACATAAGTTGCTACCATGCAATGGTTTACGTTTGGTTTTTCTTCAGGTAAATGCATTTTGCACATGACTGTAACATAGACACAAATTGGCAGTGGGTGCATTATAATGGAGGATGGTTAGCATGTTGTCGTGATCTGGGTTTCAGAAACCCCGGTTTAAAATTATTTTACACCATTCCATTTATAAAATTCAGGAACTCTACAAAAAGTGGAAACCATTGAAATAGCTAACAAGCTGTTTTCCTGGATTTTAAGTTTTGGGAGGAGGCAGCTCCAAAACTAGGAGATGGGAGGCATATTTTCGATCAGATGACAAGAAATATTTTAAACCATGGGGGGGGTGTAACATTTTGAAAATTTAAAAAAAAAAAGCTAAAATGGGAACGGAGAAAACAAAACACACACACACCCAAACCCAAACCAATCTGGCCATAGACCCTCACTACTCTCCACCATATCTGATTCTGCTGATCATTTAATGACTTTCCCTTGTTTTCTTTGCACCAAAGCAAATTGTTGGATTGTAAAAATGAATGCTGTGCACTGACCTCAACATCCAATTCTAAGATGTCCACTTCGCATTTCAGCAGACTACCAAGGGAAGGTTTGGTCCGACCAAAGTCACCGTGAATGAACTCCTTGATGTAGCTGAGTTAGGACACCAGTCAAGGAATTTGCACACTCATGCAGTAAGCTGTGAAGTCAGTCCAGACTGTCAGGTAACATACATGAGAATGACACTGTCAATCTTAGATTAAAGGGTCTACACGATGAATTCTTCTTAGACACAGTTTGGGGGTAAAATTTATCCTCTTGGACCTATCATCCGCTTCATGGTTTCTCGAAGGATACGTGCCGGCTTGCGTTTTGAGGAATAATCTGAAATGGTGTGCATCCTTGACTGTAGCTGACATGCTGTGCACAATACGTTCCCGTGTTGCTAGAGCACGCCTATGCAAGACGCGTATCGGAGTCTTCTGATGAAGGACCAGATCCTGAAGCCAACGAGAACAGTGTCAAGATACTCAGCAATAAATCAGTCATCTCTTTTGGGGGGGAAGTTTCTGGGAGTTTCATAGAAACGGAAGAAAATTCTTTAACGCCCATCTGAATTACGTTTGGATCATTTCTGATAACAGATGAAAGGTCCAAAAACAAATTCACTGTGCTGACATATTTAACAAGGAAGAAATTGATGCTGTTTGGATGCACACATGGCATATATGCAAATGATTGTCAACTCTGCCTACATGAGTCTGTGGTATGTTAACATGAGAGAAACATAACTAAACAAAACAATGGCAATGGCATTCATACTTCCTAATCTAAACTTCTCACTTTCAGCTCTTTCTGTACAGTTGGCACAGAGTGGTAACGTACCTTGGCAGCAGACCACAAAATCAGAGATAACATTGCCAACTATGAGGTCTGGGACCTGTGGAAAAGTTGGCAATCTGCTGTAAAAATAAACACGTTACTGACATAATTTTTAAGCTTGATTTGGCCGACCAAATATCAAGCTTGGTGAGTTGAAGTGAATAGAAATGACAATGTATTGAGATTTCCTCAAACTGCACCTTTTTACCTTTTGGTCAGATAGGAAGGCTAAACTCTCTGCTGTTTGCTCAGGTGATGACCACACGAGGGCGCTGTAAGACTTGGTCTTGATTTCCTCCCCATCTTTCAATTTATTTGTGTCCTCCCTCAAAACACAAGGAAAAACAGTACCTATAAATCATGTAAGATATTCCGGCATGTTGCAGATGTTAATATTTGACCTATTTTCAAATGGAATGAATAGAATTAAAAAGAAAAATAATTAATCATATTAACACTGCCCCTTACATTATGTTGTTAGCATCAGATATTCAAATATAATATGGGCCCCCCCCCAAAAAGATGGTGAATATAAGAGCTGGGTTGAATGGGTAAAACTGCAGCGAGCAGTAAGCACTAAATGGCAGTTTTAGGGGGGTGGGGACAGTGATGGGCCAAAGTAGGGTGGCGACTTTGGGGTAGAGGAGTTATTCTCTTACCAGTCAACACAATTTAGGTTCTTTGTATGACCATCTGGCGTACTCTGCTGGGGCTACAGAGAGGGGTGGAGGGATTAAGGGCTGGGGGGGGGTGTTCAGCTGCAGTTGTGTGGTGAGTTGGGGTGGGCCATTACCTACCTGCCAATACACTGTAGGTCCCTAATGCGAACATCTGGCGTACTCTTGTTGATTCTCTGACAACAAACGATTCAGGGAAAATTCAGAGTGGACAGGACTCAAAACGATAAATCACAAATACACGTGGGTCAGAAAATAACATAGCAAAACAACAAATGTGTCAGAAGTAGGACAGAATGCAAATTGCCCCTCTCCATCTTCTACATATCTGAAGTCTTAATCTGGCTACTGGGGAATTCTACTCAATGTCTGTCTTTCAGACATCTCATGCATCCTTGTCTCTGTCCCTACTGAGAGGTATTAGGTCGCGTTTTCTCCAGCTAGCTCTTTACAAGTGACATACTGTACTGCAAGGCAGATGTGAATGATATGGGTGTATGGACTTGGTGACATGTGTAACATTTTCCAGCATTCTCGGGTCTGCCATCTGGAAACTGCAGAGCACTTCTGAAAGGGTGTAGTGGTGTCATGCCGACCGAAAGCTTGCCACTGGCCAAGTGGCCATGCTATACATGGGAGATGCAAAGCCCCAATACACTGCTCACAATGGATGAGAATGGAGTGAAACTGCTCGTCCAGACCGGGGCTGCATATCTGATTAGAGGGCTTGTCCTAAAACACTTGATGCAGAAACTATGCACTGGGGACCAAGCAAAGTATGAAGCCCAAAGTTGCCAGAAACACTTTTGGGTTAAACGCCTTTGAAAGAATCTTGCACGTTGTGATCAATGTGAATTAATAGCAAGCCTCAACTTGCTTTCATCCACATTATCACATATTCCGACCTGATTGATAGATAAAAACAAAGAGCTTAATTTGCTCATTCCAAAGTGATCCAAAGCAAATTTATTGGGGGGGGGGAGAATGGCCTCGTGACGCTTTTGTAAGATCTGATTGATCGAATGCAAATTTGAGTGTAAAAATAAATTGAAGTTATTATGCAAAGTTGCCTCCCACCTGAATTGTCATTATTAAAAACTAACCTTCTGCAATGCAGTGAGTTCAGCTTGGGAAGGTATTGGACGCCTTGAGTTAAGTATCTCTACTACAAATGGCCTTCCTAGAAATAATTAGAGCAAACAATGCAAGTGATCAATTTTCAAAAGATTTCACATCAATTGCATGTTTGTGATCAATGTTACTCAAAAAGCACTTAACCACTTCGCGCCGGTGGCAGTTATCAATATTGACGATGCTGGGATGGGATAATTACCATTTTTTTATCTGTTTTCAAAATTCTTTAAAAATTCCTATCTTCATTTACTGGACACTTACACCCACATGAAGGACTGTCTGGTTCTACTCTTATATGACAGACAACATCTGTTGACACTGGAGTATTTCAGCCAGGCCTGCCACCTTGTAAAAAGAGCCCAGATTTTGCGGTATTATGTAATTTTCTTGTTGTTTACGAAACTGGCACAGTACGCTGCTGACATCTTTTCACTAGGGGCCAGATTAGCATGCAGCAGTAGTGTTGCTCATCGTTGCGGTGGTTGAGCGCTTTTGTCCCCGGTGGTAATCTGCTTGTGCTAAATCCCCAAAACCGTGGTCTACTGTTTCTAAACAAGGCTGGATTATCTCCACTATTGAGAGTGAAAAAATGTTGGCAATGCCCAGCAGCCTGGTCTTTTGTTATGAGTACAGTCTTTTGTTACCGGTACAAGGCCCAGCTCCCTTTGTTTGATTTCGGAGACCCCGGCCACGCGTATAAAGAATATGTGTCTGGTACTGGAAACCCTGGCGGCAAGTGATTAAATCTGTAGCACATAATGCCTAAAGTTACAGATAAAATCAGAAGAGGTCTGCCCGTGACCTGTATTTGTGAAAAAAATCTTTTTAAAAAAGGGGAGTTTGATGCTTACCATTCCCAAGTGTTCTTACATCAACATCTTCTCTACCCGAGGCTGAGAATCTAAACTCTGGGTGGAACAGAAGCAAATGAAATTCAGGGATTATGATGCATGTATTCAATCCTTGAGGAAGACATTATTGAATAAGCAACTTCTAGAACAACTTCTAGAACTTACATTTTGCAACTTGCTTTAACAATGCATCTGACACAATCAGACAGCATCTTACTTGATAAAGTCCGATGAATTTAGAGGCAAAATCTCATGCTGCTGATGTAAGTTTCGGTAAATGAATTAATCTTTGACTGCAATTCAGGTATTGTGCCCTTAAGACGGTTCTCACCTGATGCCTTGAAGAGTTCTTTGAGAGGATCACACACTATCTCTTGTATGGAGGACTCTGTCTTGCGCTCCCCGTCAATCAGCCAGGGTGTCTGACTCAACTTGCGGGAGTACTTGTTGTATCGTCCTAGATATGGAAGCAAGTACCACTCAAAGACTCGACAAACTGTTCACTTTGGATCTAAATATCTGGCCAATTTCAACCCCTGGAGAGCATTTGAGGAGAGAATATACATGTATGTATTTGCCAGGATGATGTGAAAATTGGTGTAGCAGCTTATTAAAAGGCAAGCTGGTCGGATCTATAATCAATGACACTGTTTGGAAAGTTTGTCTCCAGTCTGCAGACAGTGTGATCAGGTACATCTGATTTCAAGCAGCGATTAGGCCTGAAATGTGCTTAGCACATTTGCTTAGGAGAAACAAGAAACTGGCCAAAATTCAATGCTATGCATGTTGTTTCTGAGTGGTCTTCTGCTGGTTTTTTGCTTAGCATCTAAATTTGCTGAGCAATCATTTCTGCTTGAATAGTTCCAAGAAATTGGGCCTGAGTAAGCACCATTTCTAGTTCTGGTAGCTCCTATTCTTATCCAGACCAATGTGCTCTTTGGATCACGATGGTCAGTCCCTGACTCAAATTCCTCTTTTGATTCAACTTTGCACAGATTTTATCAGCCACACTGGAGTATCATGAAATTTATTGTTAAGGTCTCTTGGCTCTTCTCCCCAGTGTTAGTCCATCACAAGTCCTTGCAAGTCCCATCAAAAGTCCAGCCTGAGTCATTTCAGTCTGAAACCAAGTCACATGTGGCTGGTCTTGTTTAAGGTCTGTGACGGGATCAGCTTTGCAACACCACTCTCCACCACAAAGAAATGGCTCAAGCTGAAGTTGGTGTACCTAAAGAGAGATTCTCAACCATGTTGTCATTAAAAACCATGGATGAAAAAATTCTGAGCTCTGCAAATCAATCACGTCTTGAGGAAAACCTTAACCAAGAGACGATACAAATGCAAAACACATACCATACCTGCAACAAACACAGCAGAGTACCAGCAGGCCACCTCAGTTGTGCATGGGGACCGGGGAATCGATGGAGGGCAAGAAAATAATCTGAAACATTGCAAACAAGCAACTGACAAGGTTTCATTCCGATTCTGCCTAATTTTGCTATTCTGTTAATGTAATAAACAAAATTTGAATATTTACATTAATTTTGTTAAAACCTGCAAGAAGCAAATTTTGCAAGAGATAGGAATCATTAGTTTGAGCTTATTTCAATAGCAGTGGCAGCAAACTTACTCCTTGAAAAGGCTGTTTGGTAAATCCTTGATGGTTGAAATTACAACAGGTCTGCCTGGGGCATTGGCAGCAGCGTTAAAAAACTGGAATTGAATGCAAAGATCACTTCTTAAACACAATTACAACACAAGAATTACAGTAAAGACACCAACAAGAAAATGTCTGCTTTTTTATATTGAGAAAACTGAATACCAGCTGGAGTAGAAATACAGATGTTTTGATGTTTTGAGGCTTAATCCAGCTAATTCTGACTAATGGTGAGACGAGAAACAAACTACTTGCAATGTATCTGATGGGCCAACAACAGCTGTTACATTTTCTAATCAGACCTGCAAGAATTTAGCAATGGAGAGAAAGAAATTGGCAGGATATAACTTCACTCAAGGCCGGTGACATGCCTCACCTTTGCTCTCTTCCTTTGAGGCTGATTGTCTTTACTCCGCCGTAATCTGCAAGATACAAACCATTAACAATGAGCCTTTTAGAATGCACATCTTAAGAGGCAGGTATTATTCATACCTGCCTAGGCCTTTTTAACTGGGAACGCACCCTCAATCCTTCAAAGTCTTCCATTTCCCTCTTGATAAAATTGGATGTTTTTTCAGTCCTCTGAAGTCTCTAAGCTAGAGTGAGAGGCAGGGCTATATTTCATGGAGAAATGTAAATATTGCCAGACAAGTCTTACGACCTCTTCACAATAAGGACCTCAGACATGCAGAGTAGAAAGTGGAAGCACACAGGTAGTTGGTTCCACTGCATGTCTCTGTCCATGTGTTCATGGGGAAGATCAGTGCTGATGTCAATCTTCTAAAATCACTTCCGATCTGTTCAGATTTGTGCATCAATTTCCTGAAAATCCTCCTTTTTTCTTACCACCTTTCTACCTCTGTTCAAAAAAATAGCAGGACAGAAACATTGTGTGCCCTCAATCCTACATAATCCTAGAAATTATCATACTGTGATACACTCCAACACTGCCTGGGTGATTTTGGAAGAGTAAGGAGGTTTAGGGTAAATTTCTTATGGATCTGGATTGGCTACTCTGTCAAAGCAGGTATCCACACCTCAACAGCAAATGATCTTTAGAAGCAATGACGATGGTGTGTGGTGGAGCAAAAATATGGTCTTCACTGGATGAGGCATCCTCTCACAAAGGAAATAGACCAAATATCATGGTATACTCAGATCGGGCCCAACTCACAGTTTGTTGAGTTCTTCTTCTGTTTCTTGATGTGTGAAGGTCACCATAATTTCCATTGGACTCTGCAACATAAAAAAGATCGAACCAAACCTCACTTAGACCTTGATGGAATCAGTCACAACAGGGCCTGCCCACACACCTCCTGCCAACCGCTAATCTTATCTGAGGGTATTGCACCATTACCTTAAAGTAGAAGCTAACATCCAGTGCATCTCCCATGACTGGTCCACATACCCACTTGTACACTTCCTTGATGGTGGCAATCATCCCATGGGAAGATTTCTGGTACAGTTCACTGTGTGAGAATATCCACATAGGGTCATTCTGTGCAAAATCATACACAATCGGGGCACCTCCCATCTCCCATCATCGTCAAGTCATATGGGATGGTATTTGATTTGACAAGCAATGACCCTACAGACACTACGTCGAACTTGAAGAAATTGGATTAACAATGACATTTCATACAAGCCACAGCTTGGGCAATAATGCAATTTTTGAAAATACGTTTTTAATAAACTGTGGGAGCCTGTGACAATATGAACAAAGTGAGCTCTGACTTCAATTTGCAAATCATTCCTTACCTGAACATTGACTTTAAGTGAAGAAAGATACAATGCTGAAGAAACAAAGAGAACAAAACCATCGTGTGGATTTCTTTGACAGAAAAGGCGTTAAATTTTATCAGTTGTTTATGCTTGTTATGAACACATGTGGTCATTACAAATAGAGTTTTAGTGAAAAATACTAACATTCCGGATGAATCTGGGGAACTCAAGAAGAAACATATGGCACATCCAACACAAGATCAACCTATGTTTTGAGGGGACTTGTGGAAGCACCTTGTGTCCTCTGATACCTATTCTGAACAACAGCACGCACATTGTCTCCAACTACTGGATAACCCCGATTACTGGACAGAGGCACCAGCAGTGAAGGAATGCCATGAGGAAGACAGGCTAGTGGGCAATGCATTCATGCAGACTACCAGAGCTAAAAAAAAAACCCAGTGGGAGTCCTGGTCCTTAAACTGCATTGTGCACGGCCCTTGAACCTTGCAGGGCACCTGTGAAACTGTACGGCTGGACGAATGCTTCTCCTACTCCGGCCTCCATGCATTTACTGACTAATCACTGCTAGTTAGACCCAACCAATCAGATAATAGTAATGTTATTGGCACAAAGGGCACTTTCAAACTGTCATTCAATGCCACTGTTCCACTTCAACAACAACAGCAGTTAACGGGGTTGTTTTTGAGATTCTTTCAAAAGAGAAGTAACGTCTTTTCCAGGAATTTTAGCTGGATGGGAGCTGGATATATTCTTTCACTCACCTCTCTAATTAAAAGCTGCAGAGGTAGCACCATTGACATTGTGAAGTTTTCAAAGCCAAAGTCAGCTTCCCGCACCTGCTCTGCCAACTGTGGGAAAACAGAGATCAGCAACTCTTACCCTGCCACTACCGGACTAAAGAAAAATAATGTAAATGAAATATAAACATTGCATGTAGTCCCAATGGGTACATGAGTTGTGTGATGCTACCAAATGCTCCTCCAAGTTTTGCTCAGCATTTTTGCAACTCGGAGTCTTTAGGTAAAAAATTTTACCGGAGGATGTGCAAAGTAAGCACAATCTGGGCTGTCCATAAATGAGCATTGGCGCGGCTGATGAATTAAAGCATCAAGCTTGCCTCGACACACCTCTCGATGATGTGTAAACATGCTACATGTAATCCACACAAAGTCCAGGAAGTCCCGCAGGCAGTTACATGTACATGTATGTTCAGTTTGAATCTGCATGCTGTGTATGAGATGTTGTGACAGCGTAGGGTTGTCTGATTTAAATCACTGATTTGAATCGCGATTCAAATCAAATGTTTTTTTGAAAAAAAAAATCACTGTTTTTAAATCAACATATTTAATTTTTTGGTTGAAAGGCAAAAATGTTTCAATTTTTGATTTTTTTTTTTTTACTAATTGGAAACGTTTGCATGTTTTGCACAGTTTAAACAGCAAATCTCCCTTCTGTGAACCTTCCAGTTCCTAGTATTACTGAAGTATGAATGCACATGTGTTACACACAATCTGGGTTGGTAAGATTTTTATGTTCAATTCTGTCCACTTGTTTTGATTTAAATCAGCTTTTTGGATTCATTAAGTGCATTTGATGTGAAGGATTTATAATCATAATTTAATTTTACTTCATTTAAATTGCCCACTGCAGAGTTTAACCATAGAGGAAGGACACAAAATGAGTTGGATGAAAAGTGCTCGATGATCATCGCTGCCCGGTCAGACACACAATAGTAAACATTCCAAAAATGCCTGATTACTGCCTGCAGCTTTAGCCGGACAGGTGGGCCCAGTAATATCCTAGCAATATTTTATGTGTTTTGTTTGCAATTAAGTGACCAGGAAGTAGAGAGTGAAAAGTCTCTAACATTAGATCTACTTTTGCCATCGTGAATAAACTTTTAATATGCTGTTCCATTATCCATGCAATGTTTGTAATTTTATTTTGTCTTTCCAAAACATCAACTTTCAAAGTCTTTGTATGAATTTGGCAAAGACTGGCCAACAACATGTTGACCAACACTGGACAACTAAGTTCATAACAAACAAAATTCGCCACACGTATTTCATCACATGGAGTGCTCAAGAGGTCTCATGAAATACCTTTTTGTATCAATGCTATAATAAAAATGATTCAAATAAAACACAATATCTTACAAACAACTTGGCTATTCATTCCTAAAAGAACTCCAGAAGAAAGCGTTCGATAAGGGCAATGACTGCACATGAACACGAAGGGCACAAAGCCTAATACAAGCAAACTGCGTAAGCATTAAATTTGATGTGGTTTTCAGGTCATACCAAGCAAAGAATATTCAACTTCCTATACTGCAGTACACAACGTTTTGAGGATGCAGATTACCAGCGAAAATTGCGGTGATGATCATTGGGTACAAAGGGGGCTTATGGTTGTGAAACAGGTGGTATGGAGTAAGTATTCACTGCACTCTGGCTATGGTTATACCAGGCATGCCAGAAAGTGGTAATTGGCCAGATGTTATAGCCCGGGCAGTTCAAACTCCTTCTGTGTCCATCCTCTATGGTTCAACATGGCAAAATATCAGTGTACATCAACCTTTTACATCTCTACAAATATACATGCATTTTATTGAGATTAGAAATGTTAGTTATTATAGTGTAACTAAAAAACCACTAAATTCTTGCCTTTAATAAAGTGATTTTTAGTCAAGTCTAAGTCATGGCTCTGTGAAGCTGGATAACAAACAAAATGAGACTGCTTTTTGCGCACAGAGCAGGGTAAAATACCAGCATTTTGTACAGGTACACATGTACATGTAGCATGCAAAATTAATGCATGTACCTGTTGGTCACTGCATGTTTCTCACACATTAGTCATTTGATGCATGCACAGGTAAGTACCCTATTAAATTCTTGTGAACTCTACTCTTGTCAAAACCTAAGAGTTTGGTTAAAAACCTGGAATGCACTGTACCCTTAGTATATGTGCATGTACTTGTCTCTGAAGGAAGTGTTTTTTCTGCAGGTACATGTACTAGTAGGTGTTATACTGCATGCATTTCACCAAGGTTAAGACATAGTGGTTCGTGAATTTTATCAAATTAGATGATTTAAATTTCTTAATTTGAATCCAAATTTGTTTTATTTGGTAACAAAACAAATAAATAAAAGAAAACTATTACGCATACAGCTAATTTGCTTGCTATTGAATAGACATTTGAGCCAACTTGTTTCAAATTTTTATATAAATAAAAAAAATGTGATTTGAATTTAAAAAATCAAATTTTTTCAATTGAAAAACAAAAATAAAAAAATCATCAACCCTGTGACAGTGTAAATCATTCTGGTGACAAAAACATATAATACGACTCAAATGACTCTTGCAAATCAGTTTGTGGTTTGGCTCTGTATCAAAAGTCGGCAGCTGCATCATACCTTTTAGAAAATCAAAAATAGTACTGTCTGCAAGACTTGCAAGTTGTTAAAATGAAAAAGAAAAACAAACAACACCAAAAAACAAAATCTAAAAACAAAAAACTGTGTACCATTTCAGAATTGATACAACGCACACAGTTGAACAAGGGTACACGGCACATGTACATGTAAGTCTGTTAGTCCCTGACAAACTCAGAAGTGCACAACCTAGTCTAAAAATTTCTCAACACTCACATCTAGCACATGGCTTTTCTCACATGGACCTTGCAGGATACCAAGACAAACACTGCAAACTCCTGATGTTACACTGGGCAAACCTCCAGCTGGCTGATGGGATGAAGCGTTTGGCTCCCCGTCAGGCTCTGCAGACCCGTCCTCAGCCTCCTGGCTTGGGGAAGAGCCATTCTCCTTGCTCTTGAGCAGTTGGGATAAAACCTTGGGGAGGGAAAGGGTAAGACAAGCACTAATTTCACTCTGAAAGTTGAACAAAATAAACAACTTAACCAACAACTTAACCGACAGATAAACAAATGTGAACACACAAGCAGCCTAAAAGGGAATCAAAGGCACTCTGGGGTCACTGTTAAAGAATACTGAATGTTAAAATGTAATGCCTTTCTAGCCCATTTAAGACAAAGCTAACCTGAAATACATTTGTCAACAACAATGCATGTACCTCCAGTGGGTCAATGTATGAAGACTGTCTCTTGACACCTATGAGCCTTAAAATGCACCTACTGCAGCATCCACAACACTTGAGTTCCCTTATTACTGCTTGACTCTCTTCCAGCTCAAAAAACGTCTCCACATTTGGCTGCAGGAAGGCAAAATATAACATAGAGGTATGTAAATGTATGCTGTAAGCTAACTACCTTTCAGGGTTGTTGTTTTTTTATTAAAAAATAATAATAATAAAAAATTGGATTTTTTTTAAAATCAGATTTTTAAATTAAATCAGATTTTTTTTTAATTAGAGAAAAGTTGGCTCAAAGTTCCATCCAAAAGCAAACAAATTAGCTGCACATGTAATAGTTTTTCTTTTATTTAAATGTTTTATTACAAAATTACACAAATTTGGATTTAACTTAAGAAATTTGAATCAAGTAATTTGATTCAATTCACAAACCACCAAGTCTTTGCCTTGGTGAAATGCATGCAGTATAACACCTACTAGTACATGTACCTGCAGAAAAAACACTTCCTTCAGAGACAAGTACATGTACACGGATAAAGTGGAAACCAGGTTTTAAACTGAACTCTAAGTTTTGACAAAACTAGAGTTCACAAGAATTTGTTAACAGGGTACTTACCTGTACATGTATACATGTGTTAACTGACTGATTAGTTAGAAACATGCCATAAAAAACATGTACATCTATTTATTTTACATGCTACATGTAAGTACAAAATGCTGGTATTTTACCCTGCTCTGTGTGCAAAAAGCAGTCTCATTTTGTTTGTGATCCAGCTCCACAGACTTAGACTTGATTAAAAATCACTTTCTTAAAAACCCTAACCAACTAGGGCCTTTTTACTCTGCCACATTCCCATTCCTCCCAAATCCTCCAGCTGTTAAATCAGCATTCATCCTCAATCCTCTGAAATCCTCCATGCTTCAATCAACATTCATCCCTAATCCTCCAAAATCCTATAATGTTCAAATCCTCATTCATCCTTAATCTTCCAAAACCATCCAGAGGATTTTGGAGGATTGAGGTGGGTTAGGTAGATAAATCCTTTGCATCAAATTCACTTACTGAATCCAAAAAGCTGATTTAAATCAAAACAAGTGGATTGAATTGAACAAAAAAATCTTGCCAACCCAGATTGTGTACTCATTCATACTTCGTTAATACAAGTAGGAACTGGAAGGTTCACGGAGGGGTGATTTGTTACAGGGGTGTGAAAACAGCTAGCAAACAGCCAAAATGTACAAGGTTCCCATACTTTTATATAGGCCAGGTGTGCAAAATAGCTGAAATTCAGGATCAACATCTAAACAAAAAGTTGAAATTAGCTAAAAAGCTGAATTCTCACACCTCTGTTGTTGTTTAACATGTGCAAAACCTGTAAACATTTCCAATCAGCCAAAAAATTGAAACAGTTTTGCCTTTTTTCCCCTTAATATGTTGATTTAAATCAATGATTTTTTCGAAAAAAAGAAATCATTTGATTTAAATCGCGATTTAAACCAGCCAACCCTGCTACCTTTTCAGCCAAATTTGTGACTCTGTGTAGCGAGGGTCCAAAAACTTGAAAAACCAAGTGGAAAGTACTACTGTGGGCCAGTTCGGCATCCCAACATGCATGCTCAAAAAAGAGGCATGTCCAATGTCCTTTAGGAATTACAGTACAAGTGTGCAATGTCTGCCCTATCAATGTCATCATATGCTAATATGCTAAATAGGGTCAGTACAAAAAGGAGAGTGTTTTCTTTTGGGAGGGGGGCTGACCAGTTTTACAATCTTGATGAAACTGGCTAGAACAGGGGGGTCCCCAAATATACAATCCCATTATGGTGACATAAGTTTTACTACATGTACAATCAATCCGAATTCGACTCAACTGCAGACAACGGCATCCCTGGTGACGTCCAATGCTCTTCAAAAATATCATTCCATGTAGCCTTGTACTTTGTAGGATTTTAGTCAAATTTTCAACTTGTAAAGCAAAGCCATAGACATGATAGAAAGTTTAGATTAAGGAAAACAATTTGATAAAGTGTGAAGTGCATCAATATACATGTAACTTGTTGACTCCATGGCTGCACTGGTGTCTAACTTGGACTACCGCACGGGAAAAAGTTCCATACCATGCATACAGGAATGCTACTTGACTTCCTGCATGAGACTGGTCTGAAAAATTCTTAGTGTTTTCCATGTGAATATATGCTTAGGCCTACCTAAATATTTGCCCTGGCCCTGCTGCTAAATTTGACATTTAAATTTAACATGTGAAAGGTATGTTATTGCTTTTACATGTACATGTATATGGCTACGGTAGCCTAACTGTCGGGAAACTTAGTGGCATCTACATATGGAATTCTTTCCACCTTACAGTCCTACTAATTTATGCATGCTATGGGGCAAGTATCTGGCAGGCCTGCCAAGTGCTAGGCCTGGCTGTTAATAAAACGCAACTTTGAAAGTCATTTTGATTAAACAGACATTAGATGTAAGAGTTTATATGACTGTTGGGTATGAAAAACAAGGATTTGGGATCACTCATAGTGAGTGATATATATCTAATTCTAAACATGAAATTCCATCCTTAAACATGAAATTCTATCCTTAAGGCATAGGCCCACAATACTGACGACTGGGCTGAGCGGGCAGTGTCCTGCAACGGACGACTTGTCCCAACGGACGACTTGTCTCAACAGTCGACTTGTCTCTCCCTTTTACGTACGGACGGTCGAGTAGTCTCAACGGTCGAGTTGTCCAAAGTCGAGTTGGCAAACGGTCCAGTTGTCCGGACCCCCCAGGCCTACCGTCATGGCTGCGGCCTGTGTGCTGCAATGCTAACGTTAGTACATGTACATGTGCGGCACGTAGGCGCTAGGCCAACACGTAGGCTAGGTGTAGAGCATTTGGCAAGATATTTCTCATCTTTTGTTGTAATATTATATCAGATAAAAATGTCTCAACCTCAGTACATAATTATTTTGGGTGACTGCATACAATGCGTAAGAAATTACCTGATTTGTTTCCATATTTGCATTATCCCCATCGCCTCCTACAGTCGCCATTTTCAATCCCAGTAATGCAAAGCGGCTTAGGCTCGATCAAATATTACCAGAGACGACTGTGCTCTCCGAAATTACAGTTAATTTGGGGGAATCTGTAATCGTCTCTTATTGATCACTGTTGTATTAATAAATCATTCAGACCATTTTTATGTTAAAATATTAAAAGTCCGTTCAATGATATTTTTCACGAATGAGGTATTTACTTCACTGAAGAGAGAATAGTGCATGTGCAGCATGAGATGCTGCACGGCCGGGATGACAGCTACAGTATGAGTCATCCGTGGTCGAGTCATACGCATCGTCCTGCGGTGCAGGTCTTTCTCTGCCCTGCCGAACCAACTCCCATGAACCGAGAACACTGCAAGGTGAAACCATGTCGTTTGCTGTAATAGACACTCAACCCAAGCGAAATACCGCTCCACTGGACCATGGTGGGAGACCCATGGAAGAAATCGCCGACGAATATTTCTCGGCCATCAACCCTATCGGAAGAAAAATCATCACCGAAAAACGGAAATGTATGGACTCGCATCGAAGGGATTGGGAGCGCTTGACTCAAAAAGAAAAAGACTCAATCTTAGATGAATGGTTCATCGACCCCAAAATTCAGCTAAGATACGAGTTGAAATTAGGGAAAAAGTCAAGTGAAGGTGTTCCAGAATGTTTTCCTCGTCTAAAAGTGGATGGTGGGGGAAAGATCGTTCATTATTCAGAACAAGAAGATGGTTCTCAAAGTACACAAAGCAAGGAGGTAATGCCATTGCATTGGGTACATGTATGTTGGGATTGATTGACCAGGGATGGTACTTATGGCACTGTGGTATCATACAAATTCCCTATCGTCACACAAGTTTTGATGGCACGGTCTCGGCTTCAATTGTTAGAATATTTTTAATTTTTAGGGCATAATAATGGATCAGGATGGTACAAGCTCATTGCAGTGTGATTACATGTAATAACGTGTTTATTGCAGTGTGCCCATTGTGTACTGTACTATTGGTAATACAGTACCTGTCATGGTGTCATCGCATGCCTCACCTCTTGGTGAACCCCATAGTTCTGGGGTATTCCGAGTAGTGTCTCGGAGTTCTCAGAGTAGTTCTATCTAGGGCCGCTCATTATGGAGATTCACTGTTACATGATAGTACCTGCAGTGTATTAACAAGTTGAAGTTATACACGTACATGTACCTACATGTGTTTGATGCGTCAGTGATACAAATTTTGTGCAAACATGCTTTTTGAATTTTGGGTACGTATACATGTAAGAAGGAATGCAACATTTTCTGTTATGCTATATGGACTTGGTTTAAAACCTACATGTTATGTAGAGAGATATTCAAAATTATTTTCTGACAAAACTTGAGCTATCTCTCAATCATGTCAATAGTCAGTAATATAGGTTTTAACAAATTTTCATTGGCTGACCTTGTATACAAGGTACTTCTAAGAATCTTGAATGAACAGTAGCATCATCAAGCTGCTGCATTCTTCCCTTCGTTAACTCCCAATTTAACTTTCATTTCAGAACAAAGCAGGAATAGTAGAGTGGTTTTGCTCCAACTCTGAAAGAATGCCATGTAGTGGCACTGCTTGACACCCTGTGCACTAAGCCGATGATGAGACTGGTCTAAAAATTTGAAGTGTTTTCTTAGTGAACAAAAGCATCGATCCGATTCAAACTTGAGAAGATCCCAACTTCACTTGTCTGATCCTAAAAGTTTTGATCCTCAGTGTTGGGTGTATAGTTTGGACAGTAGTTCCCAAGTAGGCTATGTCAAAACGCACAGTCAAGAAGGAAGTGGAAAGCCCTTTGATGCTGGTTCAAACAGCAATCATACTCAGATCATAAAACAGTTATTTCAACAATGTAGAACATTTCATTGCTAGTCAACACTAGAAAGATAGAGAATTTTAGAAATACTACTAGCCAACGTTAGCAAGTTTGAGATTATTTTCATTTTGTATTTAAGTTATTCTCCTCATTAACAAGCTTCTTTGCTGTTGGCTATAGTGCATTGTCCAAACTAAAATGTAGGGATTAGGTAGTTTTATATTTCGACTAACACTTTTGCAAGAGTACGTACATGTGTACATGTACATGTACACACAACAGCACTACAGACATGCCAGCTTTGGGCTGAAATCGTTCATGAGCAAAAATACATACACCGGACCAACCAAGAAGGGTACAATAGTCTTAATATAAACAGTGTTTGATACAGGATTTCAGAGAAAGACAAAATGTGCATATTTAGGAACTTCTCACATTTATATTTTTCCATCCAGACGGTTACATGGAAGGATGAGTTTTCTGGGCCTTTTTGCTGGGAGACAAAGGTAAGATTTAACGATGTGGCTGGGAATGTACACTGGCTTTAGACTAAGTTTCCTCCCACACCAGCACTTGTTCATTGCTATGCATATAGAGGAGGTGATATTCCTATTCTATTGGGGCATGTGGCGAAAACATTAACTGCGGCATTGGCCAGGTGCTAAATGTTGATGTCAAATTCGAGCTGTATGTATAACAACTTTTTTGGGGCAGATGGTTTTATCACCCTTTTTAAATGGGAGAGTGGATGGGTGGAGTCACGATTTGGGGGCGTCTTGCTTGTGCCTGTGCAATCCCTGCAGGGTTTTGCTGAAGGTCAAGGTCAGAATACCTGAAATTATTACTGAACCTTGTAGCATAATGCATTATAGTGTGATCTTTATTTTGATATTGGTCACTGAGGAATATTCTGGCCTGCTTATTTGGCCCTTGGCATCCGTTCCAAGGAAGGAATTTTTCATTGAAACCATACTTAGTGTAAAGATGCATGTCACTGAATGCTATGACAAAAAGGGAACACATTGACCTCTGCAAAGGTATGTTTAGTCACTTTAAACCTCGTTCATGATGCCTGAAACCAGTTTTGTTTTGTGATGTTATTTTCAGCAGTGTGCGGTTGAGTGATTCTCTGTAATAATTGTTAACCTAAACTTACCGTATGACGCACTGTAGCAATTTGTGGCTGTTTGATTTGATTGAGTTCATACCCTAACTTTTTCAAACCCTCAAACAAGTTAATCGTGATGGCTTCAACATGGCAACTTGTTTTCAAGCACCCAGTCGCAATGAGCCTTATGTTCAGTGGCATTCTTCAATTGCGTTTGTTGAAGGATGATACGTGACTGTACATAGCCCCTGCAAAATGCATATATAGTCAGGATATTAATCAAGTGATGTACATGTAAGCTCTACTCTGTGCCAATCAGGCTAAGCACGTACATCACTTCAGTGACCTTATCAAATGGAGATTCCTGAAAAGACCGTGAAATATGTGAACTGGCTTTGCAACCTCCACCTCCTTAGCTGTTGTACTAGAAGCAGTACTTACTACTGAACCTAAAAAAATTCACGGATACAAGGGGGCTATTTACTGAAACTAAAAAACTTCACAGATACATGTACAAGCGGGCCACTTACTGAACCTAAAAAACTTCACAGATACAAGCGGGCCACTTTAATAACTGTGTAACTTGAACAGGTCAACATTGCTGAAGTTTGAGTCATTTTGTATGGATGTTCCTTGTGTATGTGTGACTTGGGCAATACAGGTAGTACCAAACCTGACAAACTCAAGCACAGTCCAACACATGGTGCCACTAGCCAGACACTCTAGGGAGTGACTGCCATGTGTCCCCACTCAGACAAAATGCATCACCGTCATCCTAGGTCAGCCTTCACTAATTCCTCACTCCAGCAAAATTCAATAGCAAGTTCTTCATGTAGGGTTCTGAAGCACCCCAAACTCAACAAAACCCTCTGTTGGACTTTGACAGTTTTGAGGTTCATGTAGTTAGGGTCATTGTAAAAAAGTGATAATAAATTTGTCACAAACCCTATTGTAAGATCAAAAAACCCTTCCATACTGACTCTCTCAGGGGTTGAATCTAGGATTGCAGGTCAGTTTGAAAGTAGTGTGTGGAGGAAGGAAAAAGTAGAGGAAACTTGTTCTGGTTTGTGAAAGGGAAGTCACCCCATTCAGCAGTTCAACATGTGATCAAAGGTGCCATCATCCCAGGTCAACATTGGAACTTGTGTTCCAGAAAGCTTAAGTTGGAAAATGCTTGAAGTGCAAGTGCAGCCTTCTGATCTTTTTTTAATCTAGTGTTGGCCCAAGATTAGAAGAAGCACAAAATAAGTTTACCATACAGTGCATGAACAATGGGAATATGAAATCCTCTTGGAGATGGTATGAGTTATGTGAACTTGATTTGATATTCCTTTTGGTAAACAGAGCAACCCCCAGGTGTTGAATGCTGAAGATACCCAGTGATTTTCAGAATTTCCTTGTCACTTAATAAAAAGTTGCAAGGTACTTGAGACTTTAACCAAGTTATAATGAAAGGCCAAGCATATGGCAAGATGAAGAAAGGGCTGACCTTTTAGATGGCCTTCAACTTGCAGTTGATGTTTTTTTCCTATTTAGTGCCAACAAGAACTGACCATCTTGACTCCAGAGACCATCTCCGCCGCCTCGGTACCTTCACCGTCCATCTCCCATGACCTCATCAAAGTCAGTGATCCGGAGGTTGAGACTGATGCTGAGTGGTTCGCCAAGAGCAACAAGGACAAAAGCAAGCTGTCCGTCATGCTGATGCGTGACGTCAGCAACCGCAGCAGCCTGGGCAACAACCTGCTGGCATCCAGTTCAGAAAGACTCGCTTTCGATCAGGCTGTCAATGCGGCCTTGGCGAGTAAGCCCAAGCCCAAGGAGAAGCCTGCCACCAATGGCCACAGCAATGGCGAGAGGAAATCCAGCCAGGGGTCTCTGGATGGCAGGAAAAGGAATGCCACGCCGGAGCCCTCTGAGAAGAACAAAGCTGCACCGCCGATATCCTTGAGGCAAAAGAGCGGTTCCAAGAGCTCATTGAATAAGGAGCTCGACAGAAAGATGGGAAGCGGAGGCAAGGGGAAGGACAAGACTAGCTACCCTTCATCTCCGAGGAGGGACAGTGGCTCAAAGGGCAGTGAGCCAACCTCTCCAAGGAGAGACTCAGGATCCAAGGGCATTGGGATGGGCTCTCCCAGGAGGGACAGCGGCTCCAAGAAGACTGAGAAGAAGCAACTGCTTCCTCCCGGCTTCCTGACGGAGTTGGAGCAGGAACTGAAGGTGCAGGATAATGTGAACTTTAACCTTGGTGTTCAGCAGGAGAAGGGACAGGGCGATGCAGTGGTAAGGAGACTTTGTATTTTTGAGAAGTTCGGCTCGAATTATAGACGCGTTAAATTGTTGAAATTTCACAACCTTGATTTGATTGACTGTGCTGGTAAAAATTCGTTGAATTTCATTTGAACAGCCTTTACCCTATGCCCCGAGCAGGCTTCATACCACCTTGTCAGGTAATTTCTGCCAGTTGAAGTGGTAGAGAACTCACTCCAGCTGCTATGGAGTCTGCAGTCCAAAGCCCCATTTTCCAATTCCACAGTTTAAATCTTTGAAACTGGCAGAAAATTGCCAACTACACTGTAATGCACATTTTCAAAGTAGGCTCTTTTTCTCATGGGCATTACCTGAACCAATTTTTCTGGCTAAGTACAAAAATCACAGCCAAGTGCACCGCTCAAGAACACAAACATAAACCCATGGCAGATTAGACACCCACATTTCTAAATCACTGAAGCCAAAGGCATCAATCCATAGGAGGAAGTAATGATGTAAATTCTTTTTTTCCCTTTCTTTTACAGGCTGGAGAATCTCCAAAAATCAAGGAGGGCTCTAGCTACGAGTTTCTCTTTGATTGGTAAAATACCTACATACACGTAGGTAGCACTCTGTGTATGTAACTAGGCATGCCCCTTGTTTGCCAGGTGTATATACATGTATGTTGAAAATCAAGTTCTGTGAATGCATGTTAAGGTTCAAAGGAAGACAGAATTGGTGCATTTTGATCCATAAAAGGTGGGACATCTTTGTTTTTCAAACTCAGCAGACAGTCATATTTGGCAGTCCTTCCATTGCACACATCCCGAATATTTTCACATTTGCATGCAAATGGTGTGCTGAAATGAGAAAGGTATACTACTTGAATTATGTGCCATATCAAAATTTCCATTTTCCAACCTTTCATGTTTTCCTATTTATATTTTTGTCAGTTTTGTTTTTCAGTTGTCTGATGGTTTTACCTAGGTTTTAAGGCTGTCAAAAATAACTGCCCCCTGTGCTAACTAAGTTGTAGTATACCAAACGTTTAGAATATCACCTAAAGAGGGCGCTGCATCCCAAACAAGCATCACAGAAAGATTTTAACTTTGATTTTAATGTTTCATTGACAAAGCTAGAGTTCTTATGGAAGGGAAAGAAAATAATATTTTATCGTTTTAAATTCTGCCACCTCTCAATGTTGCAGTTTTAACAATCCCAGAACTGGAGAGATTTTTATGTGGGGGTTCTCCCTATGGATGCTGACCGTCAAAACTTGTTTTAGCATGTTTTTGGGGGGGATGGCTGTACTTGGCTGTGGCTTAGAATTACATGTGAGTCTGTGATAGTGGGTGCAGTTACTTCCAGTAGAGTTATTACTTTTTATAGTGTTCATTGGTTTATTATTTATTTGAAAAAAAAGACACATGGTAGCCTGAAGGCTGAATTATGGCCATTTCAAAATTGAAACATAAACAAAACTAAATGCAAATACCTAAAGTAATTCTAAAACCTAAAATAGATAGTCCTATTTGAAAATGAAATCAGTCAAAGTGAACAAGCACAGAGTTGAGGGGTAAGTATAAACGTACAGGGGAAAAAGGAATCTTTAAGGAAGAATGTTTGCCCGTGAGGGCACTGTAGATTTGTTAGATCTTTCAGTTCTACACTTGGGGATGACCAAAGGGGACACATTACTAGACCGCAAATTTCTTCCATTGGTTTTTCGGGGGGGAGATGTCGGAATCTATTTGACAACATAAGGTTTTCCTAAATTTGTACAAAAGGTTCTGGCATATAGATTCAAGTGACTTAAGCTCAATTTATCAGTGGCGTCATGATAATTTACATATTCAATCCCAGAGTAATACGACAAGCTCTCTTCTGTACCTGTTCTATTTCATTACTTTGCTGAGTAGTTCTTGAAGAAGGCCACACTTGGCGTGCATATTCTAAAATGGGTCGTATGTAACATTTAAGAACAGCCACCATATTGGATGGAGAAATCTGTGTCCTTTAAAGAATACAAGGAGTATATAACCTGCAGGATACTCTAGAAATTATATTGTTAACATGCACAGACCATTTCAGATCACTCTGTACTGTACCTCCGAGTATTTCATGTGGGAAACAAAGTTTAGACCTATAGATTCCAGCAAAAATAATGGCATGCAAACTTCTCTTTTTAAAAAACTAATTGTCATTTTTGGCATTTAGAGGTTTGGGTAACACATACATGTACATGTAGTTCTGCCGACACCAAACCGAAAGATTATCAAGATGTACTTGAAAGGTACATGTAGATGTTTTTCCAAATTTGAGTTGTGTGTAATGTCAAGCCACAGTCAGTCATTTGAACATACATACCCCACACAAACATGTACTGACAAATCCAAGCATGTACGTGAACATAGTGGGGGGGGGAATTGTCTCATAATGTACAGCACCATTGTGCCAACTGTTATATAAACTGATTGGACCATGACAGGTTTCTTTTTATACAGAAACTGTAAAAGTTCCCCTACAGTGATCAAGTGTCTCGACCAACCTAAATTTGGCAACCAGACTTGGATGTTAAACGCAGGTGGGGTCATGGCCCAGAAAATTCACTTCATGTAGATGTGGTTTAATGTCCATACGGGTACCCTAATTATTGCTTAAAAACATTGATAAACCAAATTCCACTTGTTGTGACCAGCTGGACTGTACAGTATTTCCAAAATTGGACACTGCTACAACTAAATGCAGACCTTTAGCAGTGGTATAAATCAGAAACATACATGTAATGTACATGTGCTATTGGATATGAATGGAAGGAAGTTTCAGTAGTACTACATTCAGTTTAGTCAGGACGGTGATATTTTAAGTCTCGTGAGTTTGTGTAATATCATTTCTTCAAACTCCATTGCAAGTTTTTAGTTGTAGTTCTTCTTTAGGCATTCTGAATTTCAAACCTGCAGCCTATTTTTTCCTTTTTTAAAAGGATATCATGAGACTCACTCAAAATATAAAACTAATATGTAATGCTGCACCAAAATATTAAACTCACCTGCACCTGAAATATCAACACAAGGGATTTGATTACAGAAAGATTAAATGTGTAAAAATTGCACTGTGTAAGATCTTCACATGATAAGCTGTTGAGGTAGTTCAAATTGTTTGGAATTTTGAGCTGGGCATTAAAATGTTTGATTGCCACATGTTTTTCATATGCTGATCGCATATCGGTTTATGTATGAAGGTCTTAAACTTTTGTTTAGGTCTTTAAAGTTAGGGAAATTCATTAAACAAGGTCTTTTTAAATTCAGATTTCTGTCTAACATTTTCTAACAATGCTTTATTTTACAGTTTATCCATGAATTGATATTTTGTTGATGCATATATCCGTCTCGACTTGAGAAAGTTAATTTTACCTGTAAAACTCTGTGAAACTGTATACATCTTGGAAGACCTATATATTTATTTTAGAAGTGGCAGTATTCTCCGTTATAGTTACACATGTTAATAATTAAGGATTCTTGATCGTAGTACACCGATAATTTTGTTGTATTTTCACTGAAAGTCCATTAATATTTTTTATCACTTTCAATTAAAAATATTTTCATTTGATGAAACAGCTGCCATGTTTTGTACTCTCAACATTTCAATCTAAGGTTAAATTTTTATCTCTCTGTTATATTTGGTTTGGTATCAAAATACATGTACATGTAGTTGTATGGACAAGTTTTCAGTTGCAATGTTTTATAAGTTGAAACTGGAAATGATCCTTAATCATATCATTAAACTTCAATTTTGGCATTAATATGTAATCAGAGTGAAATCGGCAAAATGGTACAAAAACATTGCATCATTTGCCTGTGGTAATGTGGAGAGTTATGTATCCTGAATATTAGTGAGATGTGAATGCATTAATGGAACCCCTTTCAAGTGTTTTGTGCTAGCATCTTCCGGAGAATAGGAGGACAAAGGCCTTTTATGTTAACTGCAAGCTCAGTTTAATGCCATAACCTTGTGGAAAACTGTTATGCAGATCTATACATGGGGCTGTGAGTTTGCTTTTCTATGGAGTGATTGAGTGAGAGCAAAATATTGAGTTTTCATGAATGGACTCAGATAGTGTGTTGGGCAAAGTCTGAGCTACAGTGGTGTCTTTTATTTCGAAGTATTAGACCCAGATTATTTTTGAAATGGGGCACTATGCTGTCAAGCTGTTCAACAGTGAAATATAAGGTTTGGGTTCATCAGGTGCATGTTTTGTGCATAGACAATTATGTGTACTCACACAGTCTAAACATGTCTACACTAGACCCTAGCCTGCACTCCATTAGTTTACTGACTAAGCAAACACTGTCTACTGGTCTGGGTGTGTTGGTGTACTCATTGCAGTCAACATAGTCGCCTGGTACAATAAAGTTGAACCAACCCTTGAAATCCCGGTGGCCTTTGTGACCCTTAGTAATAGTATGAACACTGTGAAATACCTGGTTTGTTAGTTGGTTCTTGCAAAGGTTGGTTCAAAAGGAAATAAACAGTAAGGGCGGATGAATGTTGTATTCAATGTTGAACTAATGATTTACAACAGAAAGAGGATTACACCTTTAGGGCTGATTTGGGGAGAAAGACATGCCGTTTTGGCAAGCACTGTCAAAATTGCCCCATATAGCATGACATTGGCAGATGGTAGCACTGATCTGATGGCTCCCTGGGCTTCAGTCATCCTTCTGTGAACATTCTTAAAATGTTTCCCCTGGGGCTGTCCTGGGTCTGAGTGATGTAGGCCAAGTGTGACACAGGCATGTGTAACACATTTTATTTTTAAGTTGAGGTTTATGGCATTACCGTGTTCACATCTGGATTTCCTTTTTTTCTCTCTTTTTCTGTTTTTTATGTGCTAACCGAGCATGTCATGGGATTTCTTTCACTAATCTTCATTCGAGTGCCCTAGATTTTCCCACTTACAATTTTTTTCTTTCTTACTTTGCGTGAAGAGTAGATAAAAATTCAGGAAATAAGAACATTTTTTGGAAAAAAAAAAAAGGATTCGGAACTTTAAGTGGGGGGGAGGGTTGTTGGAAATGTGTTTATTGCTTATCTCTTAGTCACCTCTGAAAATTCACTGGATTAGAGATAATTTCTTAGGATCATTCATGCATTGGACAGGTAGTGGCACTGAGCTGGAAGCAGTAGGTATGTTGTGTATGGATGTTGTAAGCAATTTGTACAGTGCGTGGCTCCAAGCCAGTGAATGGTAGAGGTTTTAATAAGAAAGTGCATGGTGCATTTTCTAGCACATACAAATAGTTAATGTAAAAGTCTGTGTAAACTTGTTGAATGAGCCACTTACTATACGGTCTGTCTTTTATGCCTGCATGTGGTTGGTAAACCTGTGGCTGGCAATCAGTTCAAATCAAAATATGGGGAAAGGTACATTTTGAGGTAAGATCTGGCACCAACCAAAGGGTGATATTTCTGCAAACTTTGGGCACCCGTAGGAAGAGTGGGCAAAAATGAAAATTTCAGAAAATGACCCAATCACCAACTTGTCTTACAGTCTCTGTGGTGTTTTGTTCAGCTTACCAGTGGAAAAGTAGATCTCAAAGTAATTATTGCAAAGCAGTGTGACGTCCATAAGGTTTGTTACCTCTGTTGCACAAGAACCTGAAATTTAATTGCATGTACATGTATCGTAAACACAGACGGCAGTGTAATAAAATTGGAAGAATGAATATGGAAAATGAGCCGGATCCTGTTGCATATGCTTCTAATATTTCTTTCATGTGTAAAACTGAATTTTCATGATTTGTTTTGGGGGTTTTGTGTAAAAATGCAGTCCTGCAACTTACGTAGAAGTGGTTTAGATAGTGAAGGAGTAATGTGACCCA